TGGTTACTCATGAAGCAGTGGAATGTGCAGATGTGGCCGCTGGTCTCCTGCTTGTGCACGTGGCTACTGGAGTTCGTCTTCCAGCTGTTACTAATTCATATCGCCTGTGACTTCGCCTCAGCTCAAGTAAAACTTTTCTGCCGATGCTAAGTCGAATGTTCCTTTATACTTTAGGTAGCGATAAAAAGTGTTGAGATAACAACGCAAGAGTGCGATGAGTATTTCCCATACAGCACAGATTGTTGCAGAAAGCTTCCAGAAAGGTCCTAAATCATTTGAAACTTGAAACTTTTCTGGAAGCTTTCTACAACAATCTGTGCTGTATGGGTTATAATCAGTGCGTGCAAACTTTGGACAATGTTACGTGAAATAACGGCCGACTACGGATATTAAATAGAAATATATTTAGAATCTTATAAAAAAAATTAATGTGTTTAGATATAAATAAAGTAGCTTATTTTTAATTAGAGTATGTGAGAACATGATTTATTTCAGGCTAATCGCATGGGTCCGATTCAAGTCGAGTGGCAAGTAAAATTGATGAAGAAAAATGACGTAAGTAGATGAAATAGATAAAGCCGTTACTACTTGGGCATACATTATCTTTTTATTTCTTCCAATAGATAAAATCCAATTTTTTATCCAACAAATGTAATTCTCTCTGTATTTATGATTTCATTCATTTCCTTAAAGCATCTTTCGCATCTTTGTTATATTCACATATAGCAATTATTTTAATACGACTGCAATCTGCATAAAGATTTTTCTCTGAACACAGAATTTCGTCGAATTGTCGTTGCAATTTCTGAACCGAAGGCTACAGTTCTCCGCTGGCGGATGCTTTTACGTGAAGTTGCCATTATTATGTTCGGTAAGAAACTAAAGCAATGCGAAGTATATTTCAATTATGTAAGAAATATATTTTTCGGGCTTTATATATATGTTAATTAATCAAGTTTGTGACCTATATTTAAACAATGCAATAGTTGAATACCTTTTGTTATGGATTACGTAGAAATTTCGATTAGGCGGATTATACCGCGAGTATTCTACTTCCTGTGCACGCGAGAACAATCGCAAGTATGTAACGTTTAATTCCGCGATCCATCGCTCAAATTTCAACTTAGCTAAAAGTTTGAAACTGGATGAACGACGTTACGTGCATACATATGTAGAACACGTATGTCGAAGAATAAAAGGATTAGTAACCATAAACGCTTCGTGATGTTAAGACCTACGTTTTTCTCATCTGGATGTTACGAGTAAACGTAAATTATCGCGTCAAGATTTCAAAATTGCTGAATTATCCAGGTGATTTCGTGGAAAATTAAACACGTTTCTCACTACGATGTTATCACGGCAACTATACGACTTAAAGAAGAACGTGCATTTCCCGTATTCTCCATGTCGCGTTGGCGGTTCAATCGAGATAATTAAAGCGTCACGTTTATGTGATATTTCCATGCAAAAATGTAGATACATAGCGGCAAAGATAGCAGTCATATCGAAACGCGAGATGAAAATAAACGTTAGAATTTATATCGAAATATAAATTAAAAACGAACATAATGTGGTTTTAAATTGAAATATTGCGCGCATACGCGTATAAAATAATAACTGTACCTCGCCGCGTATATATATAAATGTATAAATATTTTTATTAATTGCTGCGTGCGATACTTGCAGAAAAGATTTCGCTTGGAATATTAACGACGTGCGTTTTAAATATGATAACCACGAGTAATTATATATTCGCTTTTATATTTGCAATCAGTAAACCGGTATTAAGAACAAATATCACGACAACAAATCCGAATGAATGTTTAAAATACTATGATAGGTACGTAGTAAAGCTTAATTGGCCCCGGCCTATATAGTATTCGAGAGGGATTCGGGATACATGTTAGTGTAAATGCGCTCCTAAATCGCGTAACCGGAACACATCCTTCGATTTCACCCCTCGGTTTCCCGTAAACTGAATAAGGCTCGTGTGTACTCGAATCGGCACGTTGCTGTTCAGAATTGATACTTGTGCGAAACTTTACAGCCAGTAATGCAATTGCACGAGCACCTAACTTCGAGGGCATCCGACAAGCCTCAAAGCTGCCATGATAGCTTCTACTTAACGCGAAGCTTCGATTTTCTTGCAAGAAATGGTCTCTGAATTGACGATACTCTTTATATTTACATCGCAAATTATACAGCGTGTTCTAGACGCATGTCAGGAATGTTTAATGATAATTTACAATTTGTGATGTGTATTTTAGACATTGTTATTTTTATAATTAGTATAAAATAAAGGATTAGCTTCAAGTATTGCGAAATGACTTTATATTGTATTATTAATTTACGAATAGCGTTATGATAGTATTATAATTTGTACGATTCTGTTATATTTATTCAGATATATATCGAATAGCATTCCCGGACTTTATTCGGATATTGGAAAATCATTACGTGAACGATATTGCTTTCAGATCGCTTCAATGATGGCCACGTATCTGGTTATACTACTGCAACTTCAATGAGAGAGCGCGCTGGCAATAAAAGTGAG